ACCTATGTAACAATCCTGCGCGATGTGCACATGTACCCCAGAACTTAAAGTATAATTTAAAACATGCAAACAATAACAACAACAACAACTCAGTGTTTTATTCCCTGTGAAATATGAAGGAGAAATAAAGACTTTATCAGACAAATAAAAACAGAGAAAAATTATCAGCAACAGACCTACCTATAAGAAATGTTAAAGGGAATTATCTGGGAAGAAATATGAAACCAGGCAGCAACTTGGATTTATACAAAGCAATAACAGTGTTAGAAACAGAATATATAACTATCATATCCACAGGACATCAATACCTGTCCCAAGCTTGCCTACATTTGTCCTTTCCTTTTGGACACTAGATAGCAAGCTCCCCTGAGTGGAACTGAGGGGAGAGGGTCAGTCCTACAACCAAGTTGAGGAACCAAGAGCGTGCACTAATAGTATTGAGGCCAACTGCATCATACGATTTTTAAATGCCTTGACAATAAACAGCACAAAGAATATTCACAGATGAAGTCATTCAAATCTGGACATGTTTCTGAGTGCATCAATTCTTGGAGCTACAGCTATTTCAAAAGGTATCCAGACTCGACCTAGAGACTTGGCCACATTCCTTTGGCTGAAATGAATGGAGTAAGAGAAAAATGGGAAAGACAATTCTACGGAAGGGACAATTTATTAGGGGAACCTTCAGCACTCCATAAGAAAGCACAGTGGGAGGTGTTTTGCTTTGTTAGTTTGCATAGGTGGCAGCAAACCAAAGGCTTTTGTCTGTTCACTTGGACCACGGACCCTTTGGACCATACCGATGTCTGGGAAGCGCGATTGGACCACATGCCGTTACCAGTGTTCAGCAACATCCAGCTCTCCTCTTCTTTCTGGGCCGAGGAGAGACTCTGCTTCCCAGACGCTTCCAGTTAGGCAGAGCCACATAACAACTTCTGGCCAAGGAAATGGGAGCAGAAGCGATATGTGTCACTTTCAAGCCAAAGCCACAAAAAGCCTCTCCACAGCAGCTGAGCTTCTCGTTCTCTCTGTCCAAGGACCAAGGTCTGGTATGGGGTTGGTAGAGCAGCAGGCTAAAGCTGTATGAGTCGCTGGATCGTTGCCTGAAGGACAACTGCCCTGGAGAGCTGTCTGGACCCACCAAGGATTCCTATGCATTTTTACACATTAAGCCACTGGAAAAAACAGTCACAGGAACAAAACAATTTTGAAAAGTGTTCTTTTACCTAAAGCTCTTTTCACATCTTCAGAGTATTTTCTGAGACATAACAGAAAAGAAAATTAGTAGGCAAGAATAAAAAAATGAAAAAAGAAAAACTTCAAGAGGGAAAATATTTTTTAAATTTTCATTCAGGTTTTTTTTACTTTTAACATATCAGCAAGCATAAGGCTATCTTTGGTTCTGATGCAACTGGCATTGCTCATGCTCATGAATATAGCTATGATACCAGAGCCAAACTGTATGCTCACTTGTTTTCCTATCTTAGAACAATGTGATACTGAACAGCGGAGTCCCTCATGTGATGAAAATGTCTCCAATTCGCAATCAGTTGAAAATGCAGTTGGCCCACAGCCAGAAAGCATTCTTGTGCTGGATCTCTTTTTCAGCACCCTAAATTAACCAGCTGGAATTCCCTTTTAAGTGCCAACCTACTCAGTTTTTCAGAATGCAGAATTTTTCTTTTAATGGGAGATCTGTCCTCTCATCATAAAGATGAAACCGTGCACTCCAGACTTCTCTCAAAAGCAGACTTTTTTAATACAGTAAACTCAGAGGAGGGTAAAGACAGATGCCAGAGCACTTGCTTGAAACAGGGATGTGGCTCCTGTGCATAGGCCAAGGTGGAGCACTGGCTATCACTGAGTGGAACCCTCAGCACAATATCCAGGCCTGCCTCATGCAGAAAAGGTCAAGGGAAAAAAAAAAAGGCTATTGCAAAAAAATATTTAAATGAATTAAATCTATTGATGAAGAAGATTTCCATGATCTAGGAGCAGAAGAACTGATGCAATATTTCAAAACTGAAGCTGGGCATACTCTTGCAGTGTTTCTCAAATTCTTGTTTGGGAAACTTTAACACACTGCTCAAAGATCACCTACATTCTGAAATATGCAAAATCAAAAAGCAAGACAGTGAGAGTTATAAAACTCTCACCTTATAGGGATTAACTGATGCAAGACAGAGGTTGTCCATTGATTTATTCAAAAAAGCATTTCTTGCACATCTGTTAGATGCCAGGTCATGCTCTCACCTACCTTATTTATGCAATGCATAATATCTTGAGATACCAATACTTTGTCCTCCCTGAATTTTTTCTTCTCCCCAGTGTAGCGGAGTGGGGCATGGGGTGTGGAGTCAGGCTGCTGTGGTGTGTTACAACGCTATACCCTCTCCGGCTATTTCACCTGAACCTTACTTAACCTCTTCCTGCTTGAATTTCCTCATCTATAAAATGAGAATCATATCAGTGAGGATTAAAGACTTAAGACATAAAAAGCATTTAGAAAAGTGTCCGTAAGATCACAGAGGCTCAGTGCTACTCATTATGATCTGCCATTATTATTCTCTTTTACCCCTGATTCAAACTGATAGCTCTCCCTTGTCTCAGGGGAAGTGTATGACAGAGAAGAAAGTGGACATGTTTAGAAAAGGGATCACACACACCCGTGGAAGGCTCTGGGAATGTAGCTTGCCAGTGGATCTGAATCCTCCCAGAAGTCACTTCCTGCCACAGCCCTGTCCTTGACCGATGGCAACTCTTGCTAAATACCTCATAGGCCCTGGGTTTCCTCAACCTGCTCTCAGGGGTCTTCCCTCAACGGCACAGCTTGTCATTGATGCCACTCCAGGCAACCAGAACCAGAGCCATGTCCTGCTCTTCCTTGGATCAGGCCCCCTAGGCCACCAGGTGTTTGACTCAGCCTTAGGCAGCCTCAGCTATTTCTGGTGCAGAGCAGGTCTTTGACCTGTTCCATTAAGTCCACAGCTTTGCATAAAGTCATTCTCTGTGATCCTACCCTCATTTCCCTTCCCCTTAGAGGACATATCCTCACCTGTCAGGAGTAAGCTAGAGCTGGCTTGTACCGGCTAGGGAAGTCGACCAGGCCACCAACGAGTGAGCGGGGACAGAATGGGACGGCCCCCGGCACGGTGCCAGAGCCTGGGTGGGAAAGGAGGGCAACCAAGGGGTCCAGGAAGGAAAACTGATGCTGGTGTCAGAGCCCCCCAAGCGGGTAAGAAGGGCCCCCCACAGAACCATGTCAAAAGAGACTAAGCCACCTGAAAGAGGCTCCCATTGGCAAAAGCTAGAAAACAAAATCATCATCAAAGAAATGATGATAACAAGATATAATTTACTGAATAAAACAGAAAACCACAAATCCTCACGATGTAAATAAATAAAAAATCAACTGGAGTTTGCTGAAGAACAAATTTTTATAGTCTCAACATACTTCCCACCAAGTATGTGCTAATTACAAAGGAAAATGAGTAACTTTAGTTTAGTAGACCAGTTGATACTATTTTAATCAAGTGATCCAACTACACATTATCAGTAATGGGACAGATCACAGTTGGGCACCTCCTTTTAGGATGCAGTGAAAAAAGAAAGCCAAGTCTCACTTTTTCTTGGCATTTCCACCATTTTTAAGTGGTATTTCTACCAGACATGTGTATCTTGAATATAATTGTGAGGAAACATCAAACAAATCCAAATCAATGGGCATTCCATAGGCGTTGGCCTGTCATCTTCAAAGGTCTCAAAAAAAGGAAGGTCAAGGACAGAATGAGCAACTTTTCCAGAGAAAAGGAAACAAGAAAGCCATGGCACTCCCTTGACACATGGGGATTACAATTTGAGATGAGATTCGGGTGGGGACACAGGGCCCGACCATACCAGCATCTAAGCGCAACAGGGGATTCTGAACTTCATACTTTGCCACAAAGAATAACATTGTTAGGACAATTAGCAAACTTGAATTGTCTCTGCAAATTAAATAGTAGTAATATATCAGTATAAATTATCTGACTTTGATGATTATATTAAGCACATGTAGGAAGATTCCTGTTCATAGGAAATACAGCACAGAATATTCAGAGGCAATAGAGTATTAGCTCAGTAATTTGTTCTCAAAAGGAAGAGGAAAAATAATTCTTTGCATTGTGCTTATAACTTTTAGGATAAAAACCTTAAAACTTCTGTTAATATATAAATGATTCCTAGTCACTGATAATCAGTCTTTTCTGAAGAACCAGCTACACTGACTCTCTGTGTAAACTATTTTTACTGAATATTAGAAATAAGACCTATTGATTTTCTTTCTTTTTCTTTTGGTATATTTGATGCATGTTTTTAATTGTAAAAAAATTAAATATACTTTTACTTCATAAATATTATTTTTTTAAAACTTCTGAGTATGAGTATTGAATTTTTATGCTAGGAAAAATAATTGTGTTTGAGTTTGGTTTCAGTGCTATTTTTTTAATGCTAGCAAAAATTAATATCCTTAACAATCTCTTTTCCTAGATCCACATTTAGTTTCTGTATGTTTGTTTATGGATATAAGTAGTGTGGCCACTGTTGTCTCCTGGTGTTTTGAAACCAAAATGGAATATATCAAAGCAGTCAACCACAAACACATACACCTGTGCCCTCGGAGGGTCACATGGAGCTAAACGATGACCATATCCCATGCAGGTGCACACCTGACTTCCCAGCTCCTCTGGCCAGCTCATCATCTTCCTGGGAAGCAACACGACTACTTGGGTTTTCGTTACCCTATTTTCCTTGATTCCAAGATTATATGTCTTCATATTTTAACATTTCTGAAATAAAGAGTAATTTTTAAACATATGTCCAAAGAAATGTGCCTATACATGTATGAGCATAGCAAAGTGTGTTGGAATAAACAAAATTTTCAGAGCTAGAGGAGGTGGATCCTTGAAGAACCATTACACAGGCTCAAAGTAACGACCTACCAACAGTGTCAAGCAGTTTACCTCTCAGAGATCCCTGAGTCACACGAGGGAGGTTTGAAACAAGTGTAGACACAGCCTTCTTCAGTGTGCATCAAAGGCATAGAAGCCAGTCACTGTCCTAGTGCTGAGGAGGCTTGAGCAGGAACATGGGTTGTAAGATGCTGATGTCATTGCAACATTGCCATCACGGCAGATACTGGAAAATGATTCAGAAAAAAAACGTTAGACTTAGGACGTGACAAAGGTTTAGACTCAAAATTCAGAACGTAAGTTGGCATAACTAAGCATATGCTATGGTCAGCATTAAAATTTGTCCACATGTAATGCATTTTTAATCCATAAAAGCTGTATATCTTAAAGATGATGGTGTCATAGAATTAAAAAAAAAAAAAAAAAACACCGATTCCATAGAGCAGGCGTCCCCAAACGTTTTACACAGGGGGCCAGTTCACTGTCCCTCAGACCATTGGAGGGCTGCCACATACTGTGCTCCTCTCACTGACCACCAATGAAAGAGGTGCCCCTTCCTGAACTGCGGCGGGGGGCCGGATAAATGGCCTCAGGGAGCTGCATGCGGCCCATGGGCCGTAGTTTGGGGACGCCTGCCACAGAGTTTTCATTGACACATGACTGCTAAAATGGCAAATTGTTCTTCCTTTTCAAAAGCTAATGATAACATGAACAAGGACTATGAAACACGGGACTTGAATCTCTAATTTCTTAATGTTCTGAATTAGAGACTTAAATCATCTAAGACTTAGGGTAGCTGAAGAATTTTCTGAAGGCAATGAGCCTGGTATAACATGATACTGTGCAAATAACTTGATGTAATCATCAGATGGATTCATTCTTCAGTTTACATCTACCCTTTCACTTCCTAATTATTCTCTCCCCTGTCTTCCAGTAAAAGACCAGGTAGGGCGATAAGATTTGATAATGTTCTTAACATAGAGTCGGCCCTTAATAAATATTTGCTGAGGGTCAAGTAAATAGCTGCTAAATAAATATTTGTTTATTCACACTGACTATATAAATAAACCAATTAATAGAGTTGAATTAGTTCAGTCACACAAAAAAGAACGTTACTATCCCCTCTGCCCTACACAGCTTCTAATGTGGAAGATTTTCTGAGCCCCATTTTCATTCTGTTTATGTGAACTGTGTCTTACTGTGGGACTGCTGAAGTTCTGCGGAAAAAAAAAATACATCTTACAGATCATATTCAACTACAAAAGAAAATTGTCAGAGAATTTTATTCTTAAAATACCAAAAACACCTGTCTGTTTTGAAAGCTAACCTATAAACCTTTTCCTTTGTAGATTATATTTCATTATGCTGTTTTGATTAGAACTCTGTTTTACTACACTCTGGGGTGTCAGCATGGAGAGTGGGGCTGAAATAAAAATCTGATTCATGGACTAATGAAAATCTTGATACTTCTCCTCCAACATGACATTTATCTTCACTCTGGAGCTCTCAAAGAGCTAAAAGGTCATGTTGTGCTCAGGCATTCTATATTATCTCATTCTTTCACAGTCCACATGCCAACATTTGTAATTGTGCAGCAGATGGATATAAATAAATACAAATCAGATACAAATGGGGTCATCTTTGGTCTCTCCAACTTGACTCATTCTTTCTTCATCAACAGCAAAGTTGCCCCATTTCAGCACACACTTCCCATTTGTCAATCACTGATTTCTCTGGTTTTAGATGTCCTCATTGATCTGGGGGGACAAGAAATCAAATCCAACATGAAAGGTTTTGGCCCTAATTTTCTCCTTCTGATGGAATTTGCGCAGATATTAAAAGAAATATTTTGGATGTGTGGACACAGTACACAGATACAGACTTCTTTTTTTTAAAGGTCTGTATCTGTTAAAAGTCCACAGGATTGTTTTAACCTAGTCCCTGGATTAGAGAAACCCTAAAACTCATATAGGGCTCTTAGATGTTTACATCATAGTATCATGTAAAATCAGTAAGCGTTAAGTCAGGAACTATGGGCTAAGTAAGGTATTATACTAAATTAAGTGGTAAAAAGAACACAGAATGTACAATTCAAAGTTCTGTTCTTGTATTTCAAGCACTGTACATCAGTTAAAATTAATTAGATGTATGACTTTTTCAAGAAATTTGACCTATTCAACTTAAAACTGAGAATATGTATTTATACCTAATAATATCAAGAACATAGGCGGGGCACGGTGGCTCACGCCTGTAATCCCAGCACTTTGGGAAGCCGAGGTGGGTGGATCACGAGGCCAAGAGATCGAGACCATTATGGTCAACATGGTGAAACCCTGTCTCTACTAAAAATACAAAAATTAGCTGGGCATGGTGGTGCACGCCTGTAGTCTCAGCTACTCGGGAGGCTGAGGCGGGAGAATTGCTTGAACCCAGGAGGCGGAGGTGTGGTGAGCCGAGATCGTGCCATTGCATTCCAGTCCAGGTAACGAGAGCGAAACTCCGCCTCAAAAAAAAAAAAAAAAAAAAAAAAAAAAGAACAACATAATTACTATAATCACTTCACAGGATTATTTAGAAGTTCAAAGAAGATTATGTTTGTGTGATAATTTATGATCATGAAGTACTATTATTATGGCAGCACTTAATAATAAAGAAGAAGCCATTACATTTGTTGATCCTACAAAAACATTGTACCTTCCAATAATTCTAGGGACCTGGAAACTTGACACGATTCCAGTATCCATGCTGCAGGACCATACTGCAGGGAATGTATATGATCCAAGAAGACATTCTCTTTAATAGCAAATTCTTCATGGTCAGAGGTAAAGGCACAGTTAGAAGCTAACATAGTCATTTGTAACACCATAATTAGATTGCTTGAAACTGACTTATGTCTTATGCCAATATTTCCTAGGTTCTTTTAAGATTGTCCCTAGTTGATTGCAAATTTGAGTATGTGGAATGAAGATAATATGTACCATACACAACTTATGGGAAATGTAAACCAACCATATGGTGCATTTGCTGTGATGTCGGTCTGGATCATTTTCAAGGTCTCAAAGGTGTGTAAGCATACACAAGCCTATTCTACATAAGTGAAAACTAACTTTAAAGAGTACCTAGTGAAGAAGGGAATGCCTAGACCTTGGGAGTGTTTAAACAGAAACTAACGCTCCGTAAGATATGTCACAGAAGGGATTTAATCTTTTGGTGGGAGACTGGGCAACCTTTGAGAATTTCAAAGTCAGTCTCTGCGACTCAGTGACTTTGGTTGTTTGATCAGTTTCTGTAACTAGACACTGAAACTAATGAAGTAAGTAACACATGTAAATTTAACTGAAAAAATTTCCAAGAGTCAGATGTCAAATTTTATACTGTATAACTTCTCTGAGACCACTCCTGTTGACATTTCTATAATCTGAATGCACTATCTGCCTAAATCTTCCCCAAAAACAATAATTTTAAAATTTGATATCCAACATTTAAAAAGATATAGCATGCAATTATTCTCATGCATTCTTAACTGAAATATAGAGGAGGGAAATTAAGAGCGTTGAAAAATGGTCATCCCTTTTTGGCTCGGTACCTCTGGTAATTCTTCTAGGAACTAGAAATGATCAAATACATGCACAAAGGTTTATATACAAAGATAGTCATTTGAAATTATTTATACTAGCTAACTTTTGTTTTGAGACAAAGTTTCGCTCTTGTTTCCCAGGCTGGAGTGTAATGGTGCGATCTCAGCTCACTACAACCTCTGACTCCAGGGTTCAAGCGATTCTCCTGTGTCGACCTCCCAAGTAGCGGAGATTACAGGCATGCGCCATGACACCCAGTTAATTTTGTATTTTTAGTAGAGAAGTGGTTTCACCACGTTGGTCAGGCTGGTTTCAAACTCCTTACCTCAGGTGATCTGCCCACCTCAGCCTCCCAAAGTGCTGGGATTACAGGCAAGAGCCACGACACCAAGGGGCTCTGTTTAATTTATATTCACAATTTAAAGATTTATATTACATGACATGTAACAAGATACTCGTACTGTTTCCCATCATATTCTATTCTTTGTACATAATGAAACATTCAATATTTCTCAAGGAAAGAATGAAGAAAGGGAAAGAGTAACAATTAAATATGTTCCTTATAAAACTGAGAATAGCTCCCTACTATGCTATTTATATGAAAACCTTAAATTTGACATCTATTGTTTTAGCATCTGTCATATTTTTCCAGAATATAACCCACAGAACCAGACAGAAACAAAAACTGTTGATTTTCCAAAGCCTTCTAAGTGAAGCAGTGACCACAGTCTGTAGATATCACCCCTAACACACCATGACTCCAGGAAGCCGCCACAGCAAATCCTGTGTTCGGTTTGGAGATGGAGCCTTTCTTTGCCATCCTGAATTGCTCAGTGTGACCTTGGGGACAGGGAAGAATGTGGCTGAGCTGCTGACCCTGAGGTCCCTCGTCCGCCTGGAGGCTGCGTTCCTCTCACAGCCTCCCTTATCTCTGCGGACCTGCTGGACTGCTGCCTCTGCTGATTAGTTGCGCAAGACCAACCGTGGTTTTGGAGAGACATACTACCAAATTACACAGATTTAGCACATAAATGTGGAAAACAAAACATTCAGGGCAGAGTTTGGTTTAGGCAGCCTTTTGGTAAACAAATACAGTCAAATCTGTTTCAGATGATCATCCACAGGGCTGGATGCCATGGGAAAGTCAATCCTTTCATTAAAAAACATGACTCAAAAGCTCATAAACTTTTTTGGAAAAGGAAGACTCAGCAAACTCATAAGCTTTATTGAAAAAAATTAACAAACTGGTTTTTGAAATTTAATAATATAATGTACCTAAAGTTCCAAAATAGTTCTGAAGAAGTGCCTTGTATGGAGTCACACTGCTGGGGCTCAAGCTAAAAGCCATCAGCCAACCTCAGTGAAAATCGAACGCTGGCTTGACTGGTGGCTTGGGAGAAACACACACCAACAGTCAACATGTTCTGTCTCAGTATCATGTACTTGAGTGACCTGAATCTTTAAAAGGCAAGAGGCAACTTAGTATGTGGTTCATGTGTTTAGGGAGATGGGATGGTTTCTATCAGGGCTGATAACAGTTAGTGGGCTGAAGATAACACGGAAAATAGGGAAAGCTGCCGTTCTCCTAAATGTTCCATTAAAAGTGAAAAGCCTCTGCTGTATGCAATTGGTTTTGAAATCTCCATGA